AAAGCATTATTACATCGTCAATATTTCATTGATGTGTAAAAGCATTATTACATCGTCAATATTTCATTGATGTGTAAAAGCATTATTACATCGTCAATATTTCATTGATGTGTAAAAGCATTATTACATCGTCAATATTTCATTGATGTGTAAAAGCATTATTACATCGTCAATATTTCATTGATGTGTAAAAGCATTATTACATCGTCAATATTTTATTGATGTGTAGAAACATTATTACATCGTCAATATTTCGTTGATGTGTAGAAACATTATTACATCGTCAATATTTCGTTGATGTTTAGAAACATTATTACATCGTCAATATTTCTTTGATGTGTAGAAACATTATTACATCGTCAATATTTCGTTGATGTGTAGAAACATTATTACATCGTTAATATTTCGTTGATGTGTAGAAATATTATTACATCGTCAATATTTCGTTGATGTGTAGAAACATTATTACATCGTCGATATTTCGTTGATGTGTAGAAACATTACATCGTCAATATTTCGTTGATGTGTAGAAACATTATTACATCGTCGATATTTCGTTGATATGTAGAAACATTACATCGTCAATATTTCGTTGATGTTTAGAAACATTATTACATCGTCAATATTTCGTTGATGTGTATAGAAACATTATTACATCGTCAATATTTCGTTGATGTGTAGAAACATTATTACATCGTTAATATTTCGTTAATGTGTAGAAACATTATTACATCGTCAATATTTCGTTGATGTGTAGAAACATTATTACATCGTCGATATTTCGTTGATGTGTAGAAACATTATTACATCGTCAATATTTCGTTAATGTGTAGAAACATTATTACATCGTCAATATTTCGTTGATGTGTAGAAACATCATTACATCGTCGATATTTCGTTAATGTGTAGAAACATTACATCGTCAATATTTCGTTGATGTGTAGAAACATTATTACATCGTCGATATTTCGTTGATGTGTAGAAACATTATTACATCGTCAATATTTCGTTGATGTGTAGAAACATTATTACATCGTCAATATTTCGTTGATGTGTAGAAACATTATTACATCGTCGATATTTCGTTGATGTGTAGAAACATTATTACATCGTCAATATTTCGTTAATGTGTAGAAACATTATTACATCGTCAATATTTCGTTAATGTGTAGAAACATTACATCGTCAATATTTCGTTGATGTGTAGAAACATTATTACATCGTCGATATTTCGTTAATGTGTAGAAACATTATTACATCGTCAATATTTCGTTGATGTGTAGAAACATTATTACATCGTCGATATTTCGTTAATGTGTAGAAACATTATTACATCGTCAATATTTCGTTGATGTTTAGAAACATTATTACATCGTCAATATTTCGTTGATGTGTAGAAACATTACATCGTCAATATTTCGTTGATGTGTAGAAACATTATTACATCGTCAATATTTCGTTGATGTTTAGAAACATTATTACATCGTCAATATTTCGTTGATGTGTAGAAACATTACATCGTCAATATTTCGTTGATGTGTAGAAACATTATTA